TCAAATAATTTCCTGGCAGAATTCTATGCCATTTATATGCTAATTGTATCACAGATAATGGCATGCTTTCAATATACTGTTATTCTTTGCTAAAATCTAACTGTAACTTTAACAGGGTAACTTACCATTTAATGTTGCTATAAAAAAAGATATTTAAGTCTTTACAACCTTTAGCAACAGAGATTGAGCAAAACCAAGAGTCTCCACCACTAGATTGAAACTGAAATGCAACTGCTTTTATAAGGCATCCATTGACATGCAACTACTAAAACAGACAAAGAAAGGAGCAACATGTCACACCAAAACTCTGCCAAAACCAAACCAAGTGTCAGAGAGATATTATCTGAAAGACCAGTGAATTAGGATCTAAGCTCACACATATACCCCCACACATTGACCCTCTTATTAAGAGGTGGGCAAACTATGGCCTGCAGGCCACATCCGGCCTGCAGGACCCTCCTGCCCAGCCCCTAAGCTCCTGGCCCAGGAGGCTAGCCCCCGGCCCCCTCCCCTGCTGTTCCCCCTCCCCCGCAGCCTCAGCTCACTGCGCTGCCGGCGCAATGCTCTGGGTGGCGGGCTGCGAGCTCCTTGGGCAGTGCAGCTGCAGAGCCTCGGCCTGACCCGGTGCTCTGTGCTGCGCGGTGGCGTGGCTGGCTCCAGCTGGGTGGCACGGCTGCCTGTCCTGGTGCTCTGGGCAGCGCGGCTGTAGTGCCACCAGCCACCGGTGCTCCAGGCAGCGTGGTAAGGGGGCAGGGGAGATTGGATAGAGGGCAGGGGAGTTCGGGGTGGTGGTCAGGGGGCGGGGATGTGGATAGGGGTTGGCGCGGTCAGAGGGCAGGGAGCATGGGGGCAGGGGTCCTGGGGAGGGCAGCCAGGAAAGAGAGGGTGGGTTGGATGGGGCGGCAGAGGGCAGTCAGGGGCAGGGGTTCCGGGGGTGGTCAGGGAGAAGGGGTGGTTGGATGGGGCAGAGGTCCCAGGGGGCAGTCAGGAATGAGAGGAGAGGTTGGATGGGGCAGCGGGGGGCAGTCAGGGGCGGGAGGTCCGGGGGGCGGTCAGGGGACCGGGAGCAGGGGGTGTGTGTGTGGATGGGGCAGGAGTCCCGGGGGGCCCGTCAGGGGGCGAGAAGCGGGGGGGGGGGGGCGGATAGGGGGCGTTGGCCGGGCCACATCTGGCTGTTTGGAGAGGCACAGCCTCCCCTTAAAGGCCCACCAAACAATTTTGGAAACCCAATGTGGCCCTCAGGCCAAAAAGTTTGCCCGCCCCTGCTCTTATTTATTGGCCTGACAAAGTAGCCTTTAAATAATACAGCTCTCACTTCACAAGTTGAAAGCAAACAGTGTTACATGTGCCCTAAACTGTAGATTAAATACCCAAAACAGCACCATAAGTAATTCTTAAAATGCCAGCTCTGCTAATACTATAATACACATGTATATGTTACTGATTTGCACACAGTAATAATATGGCTTTACATGAGTGAGCACAAGATTTCTGCACCTTAAATTAGGTAAGACCGTATTTATTTAAAAAGTATTTACTCCATCATGCTGGGTACTATCCTCTGTTGAGTAACTGCATACTCTTATTGATATTGCACTTTTTCTTTAAATGCAATTCCTCCCTACAATGCCTGGATACCCTGCCTTGCTGACATCAGATATGATATTATTTTGTGAACTCCTCAGGGCACAGATAAGGTCTTTTTATCTGTATTATGAGGAGTCTTGCACACTCTTGAACCACATCAAATAAAATTTAGAAAGACTTAACCTGATCTTTCATGTATCTTTGTCACAGTGTGACTGGCCCCTTTAAGAAAGAGTGGGTGTCCAGAGCACCTGCGACTGATTAGCTGCTACCCAGTTGGGTTTAATTAAGTCAAAGCACATGGGCCTGAGGAGAGGGAAGACAGGAAGAGGAAGGGGAGAGCTGCCTGGGAGAAGCAAGGAAAGATGTAGGAAGGAACTGCCTGAGAAATACGTAGAGAATAGCAAGTGAGAGCTACCTGGGAGGAGTAAGGAAAGAGGCAAGGGATAGCTGCCTGGGAGAGACAGGAAGTTTCTGCAGGCATTACTACTTGGAAATAGGGAGGAATTGGAAGACAAGTGGAAAGGCTAGCCTGCTGACCTTCCTGAGCCGGAAAGCCAGTGACAGGAGGCTGAAAAGGGCTCAGTAGTTGGATTGTGTTTGGGCAGAAGTGTTATGAAACTGGTCACTCTCAGGTGGATGGCCAGGAGACTGGGGCTCTGGAACAAGAGCAGAAAAGAACTGGGAACTGAGTGCTGGTGGACTCACAGGTGGATGATCTAGAAGTAATCTCCCTGGAAAGGGGAATGGAAAATTGCTATACCTTTCTATGTTTTACTGTGAGAATTGACATAACGGTTTTTGCATGAGGATTCTATGGATTATTGCAGGTATATATGACTACAATGTGCCCACAGGTGGGACTCTGAATTGGACAGTGAGAGGAACTATGCTCTTATTATGGCTAGACCAAGGGGAAACTGAGACAGGCATACTTGTTCTGCTGCAGCCTGCCGCAGGAGGGCTCCACAGGCGGGGGCTGCCTTCTCACATACTTACAAGCCTAAAAGGAGATTTTAAAAGAGATTTTGTGGTAAGTCTCATGAGATGCTGAAGAGTGATTGTGAAATTACCTTGTTTCTCCACAGTACATGGCTAAATAGAGGACTGGATGACTCAGAGACTATCTCTCCACAGTCAAGAAACTTAGGAGAGAAATGTCCCACTAGAATTTTTTCCCCCTTTTGAAAACTGTTTTTCCTCCACTTTCACTGCGGCATGCATAAAATTTAAAAATTCTCTGAATCCTGAAAGGCCTCCTCTGAATTCTGGATCTTACTATCTTAAGAGGCAATGAAATATACTGCAAGAAGTGGTGCTTCCTGTCTGGGTTGGAGCGTACAAGACAATTCTTCAAATGCTGTCACACAGCAGCTACAGGAAGTCTCAAATAATCTTTATAAAAGATTATTTTGTAACAGTTACTCTAGTCATTAAGCATAGTAAGTGTGACACAGAGGCATATTGGTGATTCATTACTCACTACACTTAACATAGTGTTATCATGATATATACCCAGAAGATGGCATGTAATATATCATTGGAAAACTAATAACTCACTAATCATTAATATTCTTGCATGATGTATGTATGGGGTGTGTACAAAGAGTTATAAATATGTGCTAGAATTACGTTCCTAAAATGTGTTTGGCAAGCGATGCATAAGCACAGTTTGCCCTTTAAACAAAGGAACAGGTATTTGCTTGTTTGTCTAGCCTGGTCATCAGCCAGACAATGAAAGTATATTTACATATAAAGTAAACAAAGCTATCAAGCTAATAAGCATGGGAGAAGGCAGCATGGCATCTACATCCCATGAGGAGAGAGATACTTCATCTAGGGATACACTTCAGAAGAATAAATTTCAAAGGTTTATTGAGCAATAAAGACAGGGGTTCTGAAACGCAAATCATAAGTAATTGAATCAACTGATTGTATACAATATTACTGTATTATAAAAGTGTATTGAGTAAGATCTTTTATGAAAGCCTGTGACACAAGTGAATAATATTGTGAAATGTATGCGTTAACACTATATGAGGAATTATGGATACTAGCTGATATTATGCTTTAAAGTTTGTGATCAAACACAGGGAAGGTAGCTATCTACCTGTCTCCAGTGTAAATTAAGCATTATGGAATCAAAACAATGGAACCCCTATTTACGTATGAATCAGCAGGGGGATGGGAAGTCAACAGGAAGGGAAGAATAGCAGGTAGCTGTCTCTTGTAACAGGGTCAATGAACTTTGGAAGGTATAAGCAGAAACAGAAAGCCATTGTGGTATCCATCACTTGGGGGATTAAAGGGGCCAGGGTTCCTGAAATCACAGAATGTTGAATCCTTCAGCCAAAGGGGTTGAAGTCTCTGGGAACTGAGTTTAGGTGAGAAACCTGCTTAGGCAAAGATTGTAACTTGCTGAAATTAAGTTTAGTGGTAGAAAAGTATTTTTACTTTTGTTTCCTTGTAACTCTTTCTCTCTTTTTCCTTACATTAGGTATCACTTAATCTTATGTCCTTTTGTTAAAATAAACTTGTTTTATTTTACTATAAACCAAATCAGTACTGTGATTGAAATAAGAGCATTTGTCAAACCCCAGTTAAATTAATGAGCTACAGTATATTACTTCTTTAAAGGAGCAACAAAATTAACTTCAGTAAGTGTTCAGTGAGAGGGCTGGACACTGCAGAGAGACATCTCTGAAGAATTCAGAATTTGGGGCGCTGAAGAATTCAGAATTTGTTTGTTACCTGCAAGGTAAGGTTTGGACTGGCAGAGTCCTGAAGAATTTGCTGGCAAGGCAGACAAGCTGGTGTGTTAGGGAGTTGTCACACAGCTTAGCTGTAGCATTTGCTGAGGCTTGAGAGGGATAACATAGTAACTCACAATGCTGAGAATTCCAGCAGACAGTGACAGTAAATCTTTTAGGCTTGGCCTATACACAAAACTTGAGTGAGCATAGTTATGCCGGGCAGAGGTATGAAAAAACACACACCCCGACTGACATAATTATGGCGACAAAACTCCCAGTGTAGACGCAGACAGAAAAGTGCTTCTGTAAGTACAGAAAACGTTCTTTGCGGAGGTCTTATTTCTATATTAGCAGAAAAATTCCTTCTGTCAATGTATGCTGTGTCTACACTAGGTGACTATGAAGGCATTGTTATGACACCATAGGCTCTGTAGTGCAGACATCTTTAAAGTCATTTAGCCAATCTACAATGGAAGCCAGCACAGGAATATTCTTACAAACAAATGGGCTTTGCTTCTACTGGTATGAGTGGAAACCTAGGCTTGCAAAGACAAGATGAGTTCAGGCAATAAACCTGAAATGACTGAGAACAAAAGTGTCTTTGATAATTTATAGACAGTAGAGATAACTATAGAATTAAAAAACAGTTGTATTTCTTACCTATAAGACCTTTCTCAAGAGTGAAGGTTTTGTTGGTAAACATGCATTCAAATGCCACAATATGGAAAACTTTGTTCACTGTGTTGTGGGTGCCAACTATTCGGATGTACCTAAGAGAAAATAGAGAAAAAACAAGTTAAAGACAATAAAGACCCTCTTCCCAAGTTACCAATGATTCATTAGGACGCTGTCAGTGCTCTTGCCCTAGCAAAACATTTTGCCGAGCTACAAGAACCAGAGAATTGTAAAGATGATTATGGATTTAACTACAGATATTGCACCTACTCAGAAGTGCTGGCTCCAACAGAACTTAGGAGAATTACAGCAAATTTAAGAGCTGTGAAATTTATCAGAATTTTACAGGATGTGGATTAGATTTATCAAGAAAATCAAAACAAGACATCATCCAGCTCGAACATTGGCTGTTCGTACAACTGTTTGTCCATAATACAACCACATTTGAGAACTACAAATAGCTTCCTGATTCTACTAATGGCTATGGAGACTGATCAACAACTTTCCACCACCATGAAAGATTTCATACACTAAAAACAAACTCGATAAATCAATATTGCTTCCCTACAGAAGCCATAAATTCTTTTACTATAATGCTGCTTCTAATTCCATATTGCTAAATTAACTCTTGACACATCAGACACCAACTTCCTTTTATTAATTACAGAAAAGTTATTTGAATAGTCAGGCTTTGTTAGACAAGCTACCTCTGGGTTTCACTCTTGGTTGTATAGCTTGAACTTCTGAACGTTAACGCAAAGTCACAGGCAGCGGCTCTTGAACAAAGTGGCCTATCCACCCTTTGCATTACCTTGGAGGCTTCACCTTCTACAAACAAGTATTAACCTTGAATCAATCTGCTCCCCTCATTTTCCAAAGGGATCTGACAGTTCAGAGGTTAATGAACAGCTGAAGTCATTATTATGAGTTCTGGAAAATCCCAAATGGGATACTATACGCTTTCTTGGTGGATCTAAAAAAACAACCACGAAAATGACTTGAATAGATGATAGCATTTCTCCAATTATGAATTATCCACACTGAAGGAAGGTGCATATTAAATGAACAGATTTCAATTAAGAGAAAGTAGAATCTGTAAGACTTTAGCAATATCTTTCCCTCTGCTGTGTAAAATAACCTTTCATTTATCTAATGTAATTTTAGTTCTAACCTAATGGCTGTTCGCTAATACAGTAAGATTGTCTCACGTTCTTCATCACTCCAAGTTAACTAGGTAAAGTAAATGATTATTTCTTTTTAGCCCTTAACTAAGAAAGCTTTTTGTACTTAGAGCTATTTTCCCTTCTAGTTTTATTTAGGTCCCATCTACATACCAAAATGATTGTGTAAGGGGAACAATTCTTAAAAAACACTGTTGATAAATGTTTCAACTAATATGTATTTTTAATTAGTGTAGGCATATCAGAATTCTTTAAAATGATTTTAAATAAGTGTTTTATGAAATGTTTACTCCATCCACAAAGGTGGCTAAACTATGTAAGCCGAAAACATTTGAAAGATCAACTTTTAAAATAAATTTCCTAACATTGTGATTTTATGTTGCAGACAGAATTTTAGTCTATCTTTAGGCAGCCAGCAAATACATTTATTTACTTTATCTGCTGACTGTTTCAAACTGGTCACTTACTTCAAAGTTATTACTAAATACACTTTTTGGCCAACTTATGAGACATGCTAAACCATATGGAATTTATGAACTTTCTCCAACAGGGAGCTGTAAGCCTCTATCTGCCGTACACATGATGCAAGACATGCAATCTTAACTCTTGTGAGTAGCACAACTTTGGCCCTTGCTGCAGGCAGTCATGTGATTTTTGAGGGAAACAAAAAGAAACTCCTTCATACAGGGGAGGTATACTATACTGCATGCCTAGAGACCAAAGTTCTAGTCCCAGTTCTTTCAATGACTGCTGTTAATATTTCTGACCCCTTCACAATCCTTATAATGAATCAAGACTTCATGCCACTATGTTGGGGGTAACTATCATTCACCCATTTCACAGACAGATACCTGAGAGTACACACACTGTCATTTCAGGCTGGGAACAGAACAGAACAGAGCCAAATATTATACATTTTGCCACACAGCGTTTCAGAAGGAATAAGTCAAATCAGGTGCTTAGTAAACTATGCTAACACAGTAAAAAGAACGAGGAGTACTTGTGGCACCTTAGAGACTAACAAATTTATTTGAGCATAAGCTTTTGTGGGCTAAAGCCCACTTCATCAGATGCATACAGTGGAAAATACAGTAGGAAGATATACACACAGAGAACATGAAAAAATGGGGGTTGCCATACTAACTCCAATGAGATTAATTGACTAAGGTATGCTATTATCAGCAGGGGAAAAAAACTTTTGTAGTGATAATCAGGATCGCCCATTTCAAACAGTTGACAAGAAGGTGTGAGTAACAGTAGGGGGAAAATTAGCATGGAGAAATAGTGTTTAGTTTGTGTAATGACTCATCCACTCCCAGTCTTTATTCAAGCCTAATTTAATGGTGTCCATTTTGCAAATTAATTCCAGTTCTGCAGTTTCTCGTTGGAGTCTGTTTTTGAAGTTTTTTTGTTGAACCACTCTTAATGCTAACACAGTGTGGCTCGGTTTCACCCTCTAGTGGCTAGATCATATGTAAAAGCATATGACTGCTACTTGCTTCTACACAAAGAGCTCTAGTTCTTTAGCTTAAGTGGTAGAAGTTCATGCTTTTACATCTAGCAGTCCCAGGTCTGGTCCTCTCAGATTACCCAGAGGCATTGTTACATTTGACTTTGCTGACGATAACTCTCAGATCACACTGCTCCCAGAGCCAGTAACCAAAATACTGATGCTCAGAATTCTACTGCAGTCTCAAAAATACTTGCAAAGTGTGTGTTGTCTCCCTGTATAGGCTGGTCCACATAGAGAATAACAACATGCTCTTTTCCTCCACCAGTTACTTCTAAAGTACCGGTATAGTAGGAAAGGTCAGTGCTGTGAATCTGAAGGTGGTTAAACCCTGCTTATAACCCATGTGGGGTGAAAAAACATATACATATATGTATAAAAGTTAGTGAAACAACCCTGGAGTAACTTTTGGCATGATTTTATATTGCAAAACATTGTATTTAGAAGTGAATTTGGTGGTTGTATTATTGTTGTATTTCTGGTGTTTGTATCTTTCCCTTTAAGAATAGGGTGTGATACTCTTCTGTAGAGTCTTTCAGATTGAGAACAAGGGGCAAGAGATTTTGCTGGTGAGTCCAGAGAGGGGAAGAACCTGCCCGTTCAAACTCCAAAAATTTCAGAACTTATAATAAACCTATCTTTCAGAAGGCAAGCATTATTATCTAAAGTGTAACATTAAAACTTATGGGGGACTGAATGTCTCAGGGCATTGCTAATGAACAAAGCCCTTCGCTGTTGGTATTTACTGATTTTCTCGAAAAAAATTGTGGGTTTTGAAAAAGCCAGTATTGGGTTTTACTGATTTTTCACCCAAATTTTGGCTTTTTTGGGGACCCATAAATATTCTGTGGAGGAAACACACATGGCTATGCTGAAGGGCCAGGGTCAGGAGGGTAACGGAAGGCTGCAGTCCATGAATACTGTTCGCCTACCCATAGACAGCGCCCGCTGCTGATCCCAGCCCTTTGGCACAGCCCTGTCCACTTCCTGGGGCCATGCTGAAGGGCTGGGGTCAGGAATGGGCGCTGTCTGGCAGAGGAAGCAGATGGGCTCTTTGTGGGTAGTCTCTACTGCCAGACCAGGCTCTCTGCCCATCTCGCTTTCCAGTGGTGCAGGTGGAGCAGCCATCAATTGGCAGTTAGGCTACTCTGTGCAGGAAACCAGCAGAGACTCTGTGAATGGGGAGCTGAAGATAGGACCCTGTGATCTGTGGCAGGACGGTCAATGCTCCCGGCCCTTCAGCACAACCCACTCTGCTTCCTCTGTGTAGTGAGGGAGTGAGAAGAGCAGAGAGCCCATTCCTGGCAGCTGAGACCACCTGACCACAACCACATCAGTAACCCCCTCCCCAGGCACCCCTTCTCTGCCCTTTGCCCTTTGTTTTAGATTACTTACTTTCTCTGTTTTTAAAATTTAGAATAAACACAGATAAATTCCCAGGAAATTTTGAAAAAAAACCCATAAAAATTCAAAACGAAGGGCCTTACTAATAAGCTCCCTAGCCTTTCAGTTTGTCAGTTTGAATCCTGCTCAGTTCAATAGGAATTAAAAACTGTTCCCATCTATAGATGTTTGGTACCACTTACATGAGATTGGTGGGTTTCAGTTCCAGCTCCCACATCACAAACTCACCACTACATTTAACATTAAACTGTAAACTCTTCATTAAGTGCTCGTACAGTGCCTAGCAAGATGGGCCCCTAATCTCAGCTGAGTCCTTGTAAAAGCTCCTGCAGTGGGGGTCAACACTGCATAACTCACTGTACAGTTGCAACAGTTGACAACATTGTAATTGTCAGACACATATTGGGGGTTGGTGAGGGGGGGTTCAAAAATAAGAAGACAGGCCAAAAACATTTTATTATTATTTTTATTTCAATCTCATGATTTTGGGGCTAATATCCTGAGTTTTTTGCAGGGTCTGACTCATGATTTTTTAACTTTTGGGGTTAGCAATAACTAACCTATCATGCTGTGCTGTGATTGTGCCAGTTCTTACCAGCTAACAGGAACCAGATCAGCATTTATAGACTCATAGACTTAAGGTCAGAAGGGACCATTATGATCATCTAGTCTGACCTCCTGCACAACGCAGGCCACAGAATCTCACCCACCCACTCCTGTAACAAAACCCCTAACCTATGTCTGAGTTATTGAAGTCCTCAAATCGTGGTTTAAAGACCTCAAGGTGCAGAGAATCCTCCAGCAAGTGACCAGTGCCCCATGCTGCAGAGGAAGGCGAAAAACCTCCAGGGCCTCTGCCAATCTTCCCTGGAGGAAAATTCCTTCCCGACCCCAAATATGGCGGTCAGTTAAACCCTGAGCATGTGGGCAAGACTCACCAGCCAGCACCCAGGAAAGAATTCTCTGTAGCAACTCAGATCCCACCCCATCTAACATCCTA